TCGAGAGATAAGATTTGATTCTAGATTTAAAGCTTTCGTGACTGCTAGGATCCATACTCTTTGGTCCTATTGGGTAAAGACACGTAGGTGAAAATAAAATAACAAAAAATCACGACGTTTCGGCCACAACACAAGCGGCCTTCATCAGGTGAAGGGACGAAACTGTCTGGATAGTCTCGTCCCTTCACCTGATGAAGGCCGCTTGTGTTGTGGCCGAAACGTCGTGATTTTTGTTATTTTATTTTCACCTACGTGACTTTACCCAATAGAACCAAAGAGTATAGATAAGATTTGCCCAATAACCCTGCCATGCTGTCGTTGTTGTTGCCCTGACGGAATTCGTGCTAATTTTGCTGACCTTTGTCTACCCACTGCTTGAGTGAAAGCTCCCCACCCGCCACCACCACCTCCACCGCCCCCAGCATGACGTGTGGGTTACGTGGGGGGCTGTTTGACCATACTTCATCGTACTGGTCGGCGTGGGACGGTGGATGTGGTCTCACTGGCTGCACAGGAAGCCGGCACTTGTTCGGATATCACTCCCCACTGATATTAGCCGAGGCTGGGAATCGAACTTAGGCCACTGGGTCAATAGTGCCCCGCTTTTCCCTACATGATTATAATATGATTATTATTTTTTTTAAAAATACGCAGTGCAAAATCTGGTAAAACACAATTTTTGGGGAATTCTTATTGAGTGTGTCAAATATATACTGTAGGTGCCAAGCGCTTAGCATCTGTAAAACACAATATCAGCGATTCAAATACACGAGGGCACACCGAATAAAAGTTTCACGAGCCGGATACACGCCGCACACTATTTGTTGATCAGGGCAATACAACTTCACGCTGGGTTTTTTTATTTTTTAGAATAAAATAAACTCGTCTCTAGACGAACGTAAAAAGTGGGGGGGTGGCGGTGTTGGCGCAGCGAGACTAAATTTAAACAACTTTCCACCGCCGGTGTGAGGAGAAGCGAGTGGTGGGGTGGGGAGCGCTGAGAAACTCCCAACAGATGGCTAGGAGCAGTGTTTGCGAGCGATTACGAAACTTGTTTTGAGCCGGCGAGATGATATAACTGGATCCGTCTGAGAGGCGGATCAAACATCTTCCTGCGCCCCAGGATGGCAGCATCTGCTCTCTCTCTCTCTCGGCCTGGTGCTCCAGGACTCCAGAGGGTGAGAGACGAAAAACTCTCAGAGCAGGCCACCTGCACGGACGAGGCTGCGCCGTGGCTTCAAACGCTCGCAGTCGGGGCGGGCAGAGCAGCACATCAAACAAACGTGATGGAATCCATGCACTCGCCCCCAAACCATTTCACGATGGGCCTAAAATGACAATTACTACTTTCTAATGAATTCGGCATGCCGTGCCCGGCCCCGAAACCTTGGGGCCAAATTGCCCATGGCTAGTCTTCTTGGCTCGGTTGTCATCGCCGTCATCGTCGCTGGGCTATGATCGATCCTCTGCTAGATATAAAGCCGTGGCCCTCACTCGCGGCCCCGACGATGCAACTATCCGCCCCAAGAACGGCCCGGCTATTCGCGTAATTTGTGCGGTGAATGGTTCGGGTGTTCTCCGAGCTTACGTTCGTGTGAGCGTGGTATTCGGGGGTATACGTTGTCAGTGGTGTAGATGTCGAGTGTGCAGGCGGTGCTACTGCACCAGGGCACAACGGGACCGAGGTTAAGAATAGGAGGGACAATTGGGCAGGGGGCCCAATTTCATTCCTTGCACCGGGACCCGTGCCAAACACACTATGCCACGCGATGTGGTGTCACTTTTATTTTTTAAACCTTTAAAACTTTGTCTATGAGGGACAATATGTTTAAATAGGTGAGTACATGATATAAATGTCCAAACACGCTGGACATGGTTCTAACGTGTACATTCACACACAGACCGTGTACGTTTTCCACATCAGCTGTTTTGAAAAGTGACGAATCATCGCATTACTGGAAAATTTCCCACTCACGATAAATTAATGGCCATTGGGCAATGAGATGGCTTAATTTTGCGAAATGCAATATGACAAGTCACCGATCTGGCGACGGATGGCACCATGTCCAGAGTACTTTTAAAACGACAATAAAGAAAACGATTGAAAGAGTTCACCCCAACGTTTCGCTAAGGGGGGGCTCGAATCTTACGAACCCGTGACCGAACGTCGATCCTCCCTCACCCGAAACGAGGCGCAACTTTTAATGAAGACGCAAACGCGCCGATGGTTGGACGGACGCAGAAGCAGAAGGGGCCTATCAATCCGGAAATAAATTAACTGTAGTTGATTCGCCGGTTTCCGCAGGAATGTGCAGCCCCCACTGATCGGATTTATTTCATCAGGGGGGAAATGAACCTGAAATATTTATACGCAATTTTTCCCACCCGTTAATGGCAAAACACTGGGCGCGCATGGATTAACGCGCGCCCAAATTAACAAGGTAGCCTCCAACACCAGATGCATCAAATTTTAATATTCGGGTCCCACTTAGTGGCCCTGACGAGCGTACGTATTTATAGGTTCCGCCAAATGGACCCGAGCCTGTAGATCACGTGTGCTGCGATGGCAAAAAAGAGAAAACGGCCACCTCGGCTTTGAGGACGATATTCTTATTAATGCGAACGGCGCTCGGCAGACTAATGCTTCGTCATTTCGGTGGTTTATAATAACCAATGCCATTTTTATTTTTTTATCTAATGCTTTACATCGGGTAGGGATGGGGATGAGGGGCCGGGGAGATGGATCAGGCGGCCCACGTTTCAGTGTTAACCAGGATCACGCGCATCAGCGACGCTGGTCTCAACCGCTAAGCAATATCGGCGCATTTTCTCACGCGCCCGCATTATTATAATGATTCTTTTGGCATAGATTACAAAAAAAAACCTCATCGCATATTAAATGCGAAGAAAACTTCTCCATTAAACATTTAAGGGGCGACCCGGCCTGAGCTCGTTTAACATTCCACGCCTATTTCCACCCCACATGGCCATCACTTAATGGCTACAGGGTGCAGAGAAAATCAAACTCAATTATCAAATAATCAAAAGAGAATTGTTACATTAGTAATTCTATTACTAAAGCAGGGAAGAGATTTACAAATGAACTCTAATTAATGAGCCGCGGATCTCCTGCGCTGCCGTGGCAGAACGCTTTGTGGTTCTGAATTACTGGTAGCACGGAGCTGCTCCATTAATTCTGCTCAAGCTAATGGAGCCTCTAACGAATGGCACGGCCGCCCTTCCGCGAACGCACGCACGCTGCCCCCCCCCCCCCACACCCCGCCCCCCCCCCCGGCCCCCCTCCACACAACCCCACCCCACCTTACGCCCACACTTACAAACACTTTACACGCGCAAGTGTGAGCGCGAGCGAGCGAGCGTCTCATCCACGTGGACTTGCAACGGGGGCGACACGTGTGCAACTGCAGCCAGATGATGAGCCATCAATACCCCTTTAAGCCAAATCCTATTTCCCAACAGGCAGCATTCAAAACATCCTGGTTGGGCTTAGCCACCCTACTTGCTTTCAAAGAGTCGCTGGATGTGTCCCGCAAGCATGCGTCGTTTTTCTTGATCAACTGGGATTAAAGCGGCACAAACTGTGCGGACAACCCACCCTTTAACCTTTCGCTCGCGGTTACAGTTTTAACGGCGTAGGGGGTCCTCGTTCTGATAGTAGTAATAATAATAATAAAACGATAATTTAGGTGAAAAATGTTTTGTCACGACCATCCTTGTTTCAGTTGTCGTAGCGCACACGCTTGGCAAAGCGTGTTTTGAAATGTCTGTCGTGCGCGCCGTCAAATGCTACATTGCCGCGGAAAACTTGACGCTAATTGTTACGCGGATAAACATTTGCTTTTTAGCAACAACAACAAACAAAAATTAGAATTCCTCCTAAAACACGTTCCTGTAAACGTCGCGAGCCGCGATGTGACCGCGAGCTTCACCCAGAAAATGACCCCCCCGCTAATTTATCCCAACGCGGCGGGATATCACTGCGATAGTAGCAGGCGACCCAACGGAGACTCCACAAACTTCGCCGGCGCAGAACCTGACCACCCCCCCCCCCCCCAACGTCAATAGGTGAACCTTAATCGCTACAGCGTGGCTTTCAATTACACAATCCTAACCACCCAGTCCCTTTTTTTTTATATAGCGGGGGGGTGGGGGGGGAGGTACTGGCGTGCTTCGTGTTTTTAAGAAATTCATTCAAGGTTTTTTTTCCTGCTCCGCGTAGATTTATAGACAGTCGGCATTAACGCCCCCACCCCCCTCTCGCTTTACGAGGGATCAATAGGGCCTTGAGCCCTCGGCCCGCTCTTAAATACGGTGAAGCTCTGATTTTTTCCGATATGCCAAGCGGCCCGGGTGCGTGAAAGGGGTTAAATGAGCAGCCCAGAAATCCGTGTACAATACACATCAGGACGTAATTAGGCCCTTGCTGTGACCAACATGAAAGCCGCTAGCACTGCAAGCCAGCCTATATTGAACTCATAAATTTCCTTGGCACTTGGAGCTTGGAAAACAACATTTGTCAAATCTAATGAGTTTTTCCTCCCCTTTTTTTCAGTTCATACGATGGAACAACTGGAGGAGCGGCATTAACGCGTATTCATTGCAGGCAGGCAGGCAAGGCAGGAGAGAGAGAGAGAGAGGGAGAAAAAAACCGAAAAAAATATAGAAGCAATTGGACTGGATGAAGGCAATTTCAGGCATCGCGCTAGAAAGCATTTTGAGAACGATATCTCAAACTGGCGTGCTGGGGCAGAACAACTGAAGTCGGCATCAAAACATCAATATTATTGACCCGATCCGTTAACAAAGCGAAACTTCCGCGCAACATGCCGCAAAGACCGGCAGCAGCGGCAGCGGCAGCAGCAGCAGCAGCAGCTGCGGCGGCCGTGGCGGCGGCCGTGGCGGCGGCCGTGGCGGCGGCCGTGGCGGCGGCCGTGGCGGCGGCCGTGGCGGCGGCAGCTAGCGGGGGAGGGAGCGCTCACCTGCTCCACCAGGTTGCTGGAGGAGGGCCGCGAGACGTCGTCGTCTCCCTTGGTGCTGCTCTCGTCCCGGTCGTCGATGACCAGGTCTATGGGCATCTTGCCCTTGAGGCAGCTGATGTACCGGTGGCAGAAGTTGTCGCAGAGTTCGTGAACCTGTGTCCACGCGGGAGGTGGACAAAGAGGTGCATTTAGAGGCCGAGGAGGAGGAGGAGGGAGGGGCGGGGGGGGGGGGACAAGGAAGGGGAAAAAAAAAGCTCTGATGGGAAAAAAGGGCACACACTGGGGCCCCTCGTCCTGATGTTAAAAGGAATCTTTGTTTTGCTGAATGTAACAGAATCCTGGAATGGCCTTGAATCATTCTGGTGACAACAAGGCTCTTACAATGGGGGGGAGTAAAAGGCATAATTAATTCAAATTAGTAGAATTCTAACGTGGACCACAGCGTTTACTCCTTGTTTCGCAAAAAAAAAAATCCACATTGCCGCTCCATTGTTGTCGAGTGTAACGGAGATGTACGGCAGATTGCGCGTAAAAAAAAACCGCGCATGCACGGGCACGCAACTCTTTCCTCCGCTTTGCTTTGCGATTTAACAAACCGAAATAAATTCACAGCGACTTTCTCCACCGCCGCCGTGTGTTCGTCAACTTTTTTTTTTTACACGGTGAAAATTGTAACAATCGCCGCGTCATCGTTTTGCGAAGGGAAGTTAAAAACACGAGGAATCGTCGGTGGGTTAATTCGGATCGCATCATGGATGCGCAGTGGAATGCTGGACATCGCGACGGCATGGGTATGGTCCTTCAACCAGCAGTGGATTGTTCATGGCTGATGGATGATGTATGGATAACTTAACACTATTTTTGTAAACATATATATAGTTGAATGGACCACTTCACGAGCGAGGGCGTTATAAATTGCGCGATAATCACGCCATGGGGATTTTATATTTAAATATTAATTCAGTTTGTTGATGACCAGTTTTTTTTTATTGAGACATTGGCCCAAACGTCGCCTATTAGATTATATATATATCCCATCATTTAACACCAGTGTCAAAATTTACGAACGTGCAGAGTCTTGTTGTTAATTGTGCTTGTGCAACACCGCAGCGGCATTGCCATGTAATTTTTGACCAATCCGCAGGGTGACTGAAAATTTCATTTTTCTTTTCCAGCCTTGAATTTAAAATGTATTTTTTACTTTTAAAACAACTTTTTTTTTTCTAGCAAAAAGAAAACTTTTAAAAATCATCGTAGACACTACACTACCAAACAACATTGAAACAAAGTAAGACTTTAAATAGAACGGATATTGTCGCACAGTCAACACATGCCACATCCATTTTCTGAAGAAGAAGAAGAAATCTATACATCAATTAATGAACTACTCTACTTTTTTAAATGAAACTAGTGGCTTATTCTACGAAGTAATAACACCTACCGACATTACAAGGGTTATAAACCCATGCCTGTCCGCGTGTGTAAAACCACTTTCTAGATGTGTAACGTTACTACACATCACAGCGTTAGCAGCTTTAATGACACCCAGCGGCTTTTACAAGTTAAGAAACGACACACATTGTACCAAGGACTCTTTTTTTTTTGGCGGAGGGTGGGAGGTTAAAATACAGCGAGAGATTGTGTGAATTTCATCTGCTCACCTTTTCCAACTCGAGTAAGTGAAATCTTAACACTTGAATTGACTGGATCATCTGCAAGTGACAATAACAGTATATATATTTTTAAAGAGCCACAAATTACTCAAAATATATAACTTATGATGATGATAATAACAATGTTTCAATACAATGGAAATGCTATTTCAATATGTCACATCTTTAAGACACATCACTCTCGAACAACTATCCACGCACTTGTGTTAAATACGTTTTTTTTTTTAAATTGAGCCTAATTTTATAATTAACCCCAAGATCGGGTAAGGCAAAGGCGAGATGATTATATTTATCTGATGAAAGCATACGTTTTAAACATACACTTCGCAACAGTGCGCGCACTCTTTCACAAGAGCCACACTCATCTGTTATTAACATCATCATCATCATAACAACAGTGAGCCAGCAGCGGAAACATCCGTTGAATGTTCGCACACGCGTAGGGCGCGGATATTTCACAACCACCGTCTCTCCAACCATCGCCGTTCTCGTCATCGTCCAGTGATCCCCAGCAAACACAACCACTTTGCTACAAAACAGCATAAAGACCGCCGACATTTTCGCCTTGGCTATCGTCGTTTAAATAGAACTGACATCTTACTGTGTAAACGATACACCCCCCCCCCACCACCACCACGACCAAACCGCACCCTGCTGCGTAGCCTGAACAGACTGTTGGGGCAAGTCGCTGTTATTGCGAGCACCTATAAAGAACAGGCACGGTGTACGAATGTGGTGGGTGGTGTGGCAAGGTACCACCACGCAATGCTGTTGTTGTTGTTGTTGTGGTGGTGCAAGTCGTCGTAACAGGCTACTCGTGTGAATCCCGAGTCGACCTAGGGGAAGGCCAGGCCTAGGACTGGTTCAGATAACAACACGTCGATGTTCTTGGGCACGTGAGCGTGAATCTAACTCCGGGTGGTGGTGGTGGTGGTGGTGGTTGTTGTTGGTGGTGGTTCGAGAGCGCAGCGTGCTAACCGCTGCGCCACCGCTCCCCCTCTCCAACCCCCAACAAAACCGCCCGTGTTCTTCACGTACACCGCGCGACGCGACACACGACACACCACACTGGCCAGGCCAGGCTATTCATCGTGAGCCGTTCCACAGCTCACGATGAAACAGCAACAACAAAAAAACCCCCTAACGAAACAATCGTGCTGCGTCGACAAAAGACAAAAGATCACCCCGTGTCGCCTGTAACAGACCTCAACAGTGCTGTTAGCGAGCATCTATGAAGGCCGGCACGGCGCACGAGGAAGTGGGTCGCCAGCAACAACGCCCGGGCCGCCTTTGTCTCCCCAGCGGCGATGTTTTACAAAACCGCACCGGGCACTCAATTCGAGGCCGAGTCGACCGCGAACCGACCGCGAACCGGTTCAGATAATCGTCACCGGTGTTGGCCGTGAGCGGGAATCGAACCCGGGTCGCCAGGTACGGTGGCGCAGCGCAGCGCTAGCACCCGACATCACCGCTCCCCCGACACACACGCACACACGCGCACGCACGTAAAGACATACGCGCACGCACACACACGCACGCACACACGCACATACACGCACGCACACACGCACAGACATACACGCACACGCGCGCACACACGCGCGCACACACGCACGCGCTGGCTGGCACACGGGACGATACTCATCGCGTGTATTTATTCGAGACGAGATAATGCGCAACTCGAGGAACAGGAGAGATAGGGGGAGGCGGCAAGTTTCGCTTACCAGATTGTCGAGCTCCGGGTTCGAGGTGTAGAAGGGGCTGTCCGCTCGGACCTGCGAACAGCCGCGCGGTCACGGCAGCGGTGGGGAAGAGGGGTGGGTGGGTGGGTGTGCAGGTTACGAGCAACCTGTCTCTTGCGGTCACGCGCGACGACTCGGCAACTTCGAACACGACTACGACGACTTTTTGACTCGACAACTATCGACGACGGCGGTGGGGGGGGGGGCACGCGAGAGACGGGCGGGGGTGGGTGAAACTTTCTCTCTCGAGCCATTATCGCTCGCGATTAGCGGAATGGGTTCCCCTCCTGACACCCACCCCCTCACCATCAACCCACCCCACCTTGCCCAACGTCGCATTGACACGGCGCTCGGACACGCACCCAGAGACAAAGGTCCCCCGTGTTGCCTCGACGGACGCTTCGGGAGCAAGTGCCGTGAGCGAACACCTCGCGAAGGTCGGCACGACGCACGAGGGAGTGGCGTGGTCGGTCACGACGCACTTGCCCAAGCCTCTGTCTTACCAAATGGCTCACCAAGTACAATACTCAGTTGAAGGAAGGAGAGGGGGGGGGGTGGAGAAAACTCGCCGGACTGATTCGGATAGTTCTAAACGTTACGCTGCGCGATCACGTTTACACGGAGATTAATATCAACCGCGGGGATCTCTCCTGTCCGATATGCTCCGCAGACGGAACACCACGTCCAGTATACGCGCCGTCTCTCGCCATCGCCGCGGCTACTGCGAGACACGCGCAGTAGCCGCTGCTGCCGGTGCAGGCTAAGGCGGGCGAGCCGGGTAAGGTGCGGCGAGGAATTGAGCCGTGCCGTGTTTCAACGTCCATAGGTTTAAACACGCAGAAGCTGAGCTCGCCGACGAGCCAACATTTCACACGCGCGTTTATCCGGAACTATTTAATGTTAACAAAACGATATATTTTGTTTTGTTGCGACAGATCATGTGTGCAAATATACAACACGGAACACAGCAGCAGCAGCAGCAGCTCAACAATTATCAGTACAGTAATAAGAAAACGTTGTGTTGCCACGTGTAAGAAATACTGTAATCGAGGCGCGCACGCGCGCGCGTGCCGAGTGTTCATCCGCTGTCAATCGATGCGCCCCCCTGGCCCTCAGCCTCTCACCTGCAGGGCAGGTGAGAGGCTGCCGGGCAGGTGAGAGGCTGGCACGACATCCCCCAGCACCCACCGCCCCCCGTACCTGCTTGGCGAACACGGCCAGATCCTCGTTGAAGGAGTCGGAAGAGCAAACGTCGCCCCCCGCGACTCCTGGCTCCCTCGGGGTGCATGTCGCCAACTCGCACTTCTCAAACACGAGGGCCAGCAGCGGGAACAGCGGATGTCTGCATCACAGGGGGGGGGGGCAGGTTAGGATGGGGGGGGGGGGCATGCGTTTCCGTACACGCGACTCTAAAAGTGAAAACACGACGGTACACATTGCGCACGTAAAATAGTCGCGCGTACATCCCGCGCGGCAACACACACACACACACAACACGTGCACAACGCGTGCGTGTGTACAACATAGCTGTTTGTGTACAGATATGTACCGCGCGCAACCCCACGCGTGCCCATACACACAACACGTGTGTAACGTGCACGTGCGCACACATTTGGTGCGCACACGGGCACAGCACGCACGAAGACACCGCGCATCATACGTGCATACACAAGCACAAAATATAAAATATTCACACGAACATACGTGCGCACACACACACACACAAAGTACACACACGGATAAAACATGCGTTCGTACATCCGGGCACACGTGCGCGCGCACACAAAGATAAAGACAAAGATCCCTCATATAGCCTTAACAGACTGTAGGGACAAGTGCTGTTAGCGAGCACCTATGAAGGCCGGTAACGGTACACCAGGGGGTGGGTGGCCAGCACCACGCCCGACCGCCTTTGTCTCCCTAGTGGCGATGTTTACACACTGCACCAGATACTCATTTGAGGCTGAGTCGACCTAGGGGAGGCTCAGAACCGGTTCAGATAATCGTCACTGGTGTTGGCCGTGAGCGGGAATCGAACTCGGGTCGCCGGGTTCATAGCGCAGCGCGCTAACCGCTACACTTTCGCTCCCCACGTGCGCGCGCACACACGCACGTACGCACACACATGTACACAGACATTCACAAGCAAACACACGTAAACGCGTACATCGACACAACACAAAACGCGCACATGTATGCACACGTATGGTACGCGCACGCACACGCCACACACGTGTTCCCACGCTATGCGTATGCTCACAAAATAACAATCACACGCGCATGCATGCATACGCAGTCACACATGTATACACGCGCAAATATATACGTACAAGCCACACGCACACACATACCGTATACATTGTTCTAACACCAACACATCTATTAGCGAAACACACGAGAACACATACATACATACGCTCACAAATGTAGATATACTTGCGTAAATGTACACACGCACTCGCAACGCATCGACGCTCAAGCACACGTACAGACACGTACACACATAGACACTCACACGTAAACACACACGTATACACATAGACACTCACACGTACACACATAGACACTCACACGTGAACACACACACACGTACACACATAGACACTCACACGTATACATACACACGTACACACATAGACACTCAAACGTAAACATATACAAGTACACACATAGACACTCACACGTAAACACACACACGCACGTACACACATAGACACTCACACGTATACATACACACGTGCACACATAGACACTCAGACGTAAACATACACTAACGTACACACATAGACACTCACACGTAAACACACACACGTACACACACAGACACTCACACGTGAACACACACGTACACACACAGACACTCACACGTGAACACACACGTACACACAGACACTCACACGTAAACACACGTACACACATAGACCCTCACACGTAAACACACACACGCACGTACACATAGACATTCACACGTGAACACACACACGTACACACAGACACTCACAGGTAAACACACGCACGTACACACATAGACACGTAAACACACACACGCACGTAAACATAGACACTCACACGTAAACACGCACGTAAACATAGACACTCACACGTAAACATACACACGTAAACACTCACACGTAAACAGACACGTACACACATAGACACAGGTAAACACAAACACACGCACGTACACACAGACATCTCACATGTAAACACAAACGCGTAAACACACACGCACGTACACACACAGACACTCACTCTTAAACACACACACGCACGTACACACATAGACACTCACACGTAAACACACACACGCACGTACACATAGACACTCACACGTGAACACACACGCACACACATAGACATTCACACGTGAACACACGCACGTGCATACATAGACACTCACACGTGAACACACGCACGTGCACACACAGACACTCACACGTGAACACGCACGTGCACACATAGACACTCACGTAAACACACGCACGTACACATAGACACTCACACGTGAACACACACACGCACGTACACATAGACACTCACACGTGAACACACACACGCACGTACGCACATAGACACTCACACGTGAACACATACACACTCACACGTGAACACACACACACGTGCACAGACACTCACACGTGAACACAAAGCACTCGCACGGCACACATAGACACACACGTGAACACACACACGTGCACACACACACTCACACGTGCACACATAGACACTCACACGTGAACACACGTACACAGACACTCACACTTGAACACAAAACACACGCACGGCACACATAGACACTCACACGTGAACACACACACGTGCACACACACTCACACGTGCACACATAGACACTCACACGTGAACACACGCACGTACACAGACACTCACACGTGAACACAAAGCACACGCACGGCACACATAGACACTCACACGTGAACACACACACGTGCACAGACACTCACACGTGAACACAAAGCACTCGCACGGCACACATAGGCACTCACACGTGAACACACACACGTGCACAGACACTCACACGTGAACACAAAGCACACGCACGGCACACATAGACACTCACACGTGAACACACGCACGTACACAGACACTCACACGTGAACACAAAGCACTCGCACGGCACACATAGACACTCACACGTGAACACACGCACGTACACAGACACTCACACGTGAACACAAAGCACTCGCACGGCACACACACACGCGCACGTGTCACCGTGTGACACAACCGCGAGTTACGCCTCGGCGCGTGCCTCCTCCGCACGGACAACTTTCTCCGCGCCCTCTATCAGCGACGTTTCGCAGTTTGATATCATTTCTATAAATTACCAGCAATTAAGTGATCAATTACCCCGCTTCAACAATCGGTTTGTTCCGCCGGCTTGTGCGCGCGGGGAATATTTTGTTGTTTCTTTCTGGAGTGATTATTAAAACTCGAATCATCATCATCATCATCCCGCAGCCATGTTGAGGGCGGGCCTGCGGGGATCATGAATGGGCAACGGAGAGGGGAACAGCTCCCCCCTCGCCAACCTGCGCCTGTCCCCCCTCGGACCACGACCCCCCCAAAAAAACTTTTGGGGTCCCATAACGGCTTGCTGGGTACCCCCCCCCCCCCCCCACTTTTCCCGTGGCAAGTCCCAGCCGCAGCTGGGGTCGCGAACTCGGGGTAGGCGAGTTGGTGGACGAGTGGACTCTGCACATCATCACCACCACCACGACCATCATCAACCAAACAAACCCAACAACCAACTACCCACATTAAACTCGAAAAGCAATTGCATCGCCGTGCCGTTCTCGGGATTCTACCGCGTACTGTTTTGGCACGACGTCCGACGTTTCGCTCTCCGTGCCGAGATCTACTTTCTTCTCAGCTCGGGCACAGTGGAAGCGAAGAACGTCGACCAACATTCGTGCCGAAACATGACCACCCGAAAACCGCACGCGAGCCGAGCGGAACTAACCGAGAAGACATTCTCGGCAAGCTGCAACGGCAGTCGGAAGAAATCTAAAATTTTGTTGTAATTATTAGAGATTTTACCCCCCCACCACCACCATCACCCTACCTCGTCTACCCCTTTGTTACCGTTACAAAATAAGAAATCCCACAAGTTGTAGCGCAGACTCTCGCCCTCTCGCTCGTCGGGAGCCCGTACCCGTAAATGGAGTCCTTGTCCCTCTTGAGCGCATCGTTGACGGGCGAGCCCATTCCGGCTGACATGACGCCCGCGTGCGCGGGGTGCGGGTACTGGTGGCCGTGCAGAGGCGGCCCGTGGTTCAGGTGATGCACGGGCTGCATGGGCCTCGGCGCGTGCGGGTCCCCGTACATGGAGGCCGGCACCCCGACCCCGTCCATGCCGCCGTAATGGCCCAGCTCATCGTACTGCGGGAACGACGAGCGGACGCGAAGAAGAGAGGAGATGAGAAGAAGAGAAGAGGAGGTGGGGAAGGAGGTGACGGCGAGGCTGAGCGCGGCGCTTTAAGTTGCGATCGCGGCGTCAAGTGAAGTGGAGTGGCCGCCGTGCGCGCCGTGCAGGCGGCGGCGGCGGCGGCGGCTGCACTCGCGCTGCGCTCCGTGCGTGCACGGCGGCGGCATCGAGCCGCCATCACGTCAGAAGCGGCGGCGGCTGCGGCGAGAGGCTGTGGGAGGCTGCGAGCCCCGACAGCTGGGCGAGAGCTTGCGGAGCAGAGCGCCCGGGATGCGAGCACGCGTGGTGAGAGAGAGAGAGACGGTGGTGGTGGTGGGGGGGGAGAGAGAGAGAGAAAGAGCGAGAGAGGTGAGCACTCCGGATTAACCTACCCTCTGCGCCATGGGTCCGCGCTCTCGGGCTCTCCTCTCCCAGCCGCCTCCGCCGCCGTCAAAAGCCCGGGCCGCTCCCAGCGCCTCCGCTGACGCCGCTCGCCCTCCCGCCCGTCCGCCTGTCTCTCCCCCCCCCCCCCCCCGTACGTCGTCTCCGCGGCTCCCGCAGCCGATCCCGACTCGCAGCACCCCCCCCCCCTCCTCTCCCCGAGAGAGACGCGGGACTCTCCCCGGTCGCGGCGGACGATCCGAGGCGGGACCGAGCGCGCGCTCGGGCTGCGTGAAGCCGTCAACAGGCGCCTCTCCGGAGCCGAGCGGGGCTCATGGCTTTTTGCCACTCCAGCTGTCAATCAGCACCGCGTTGTCAAGGCACTGAATGAGTGATGATCCGGCGCGCTATTCGACTGGTCGCCGCGCGATGCTTGGCCTCGGCAGCGAAGGCAGCGTCGGAGCGAGGTGGTGGGGGGGGATAGGCAAGAGTCGTTTTCAAACGTCTGATACACAGAGGCGCTGTGCTCCGCGTGTGTGTGCGCGCGCGCGTGCGTGCGTGTGTGTCGCGCGGTAGATGTGTGTGTGTGTGCGCGCGCCCGGGCGCTTGTGTCTTGCGTTCAGGGTGTGTTTGTGTGTACGTATAGGCGTGTTGCGTGTGTATGTGTGTCTCGCCCCCTTCACCCCCACCACCACCACCCACCACCCGCCTCCCACCCCTGCGCTAAGCTGTATCGGGAGGGAGGCTTGCTGCGAGCGGCTGTGTCTGCGCGGAGGCGCGCGCGGGGTGCCGCGTCTGGAGGTGAGGGCCGACTCACGGAAAGCGCCGGGGCCGCCGTTCGGGGTGGAAAAGAGGCAAGCGGCCTGAAATAGCGCGGGCAGGGGCAGAGAGGGAGGGAGGGGGGGCAGAGGAGGGAGGGAGGGGGGGCAGAGGAGGGAGGAGGGGGGGCAGCAGAGGAGGGAGGGGCGGTGAGAGAGAGAGCGAGAGAGAGAGAGTGCGGAGCGGAGCGAGGGAAGAGAGGGGGGAATGATACTGATTGTGTGACGGTAACACCCCGCGCACCATCATCAATGTAAACTCGCATGCGTGCGCGTACGCGCGTGCGTGCGTGTGTGTGAGCGAGCGCGCGCGCGCAGTGAGATGCCGCTTCATAATAGCGCCTTTTCCCAATCAAAGCGGCGCTATGAATTATGCACGTTGCGCGTCTCTCTCGTTCGCCTCCTGCGTTCTCCTTGCGTCTCCGTGAGGACACAACGAAAAAAAAGCGCAACTCGCGGCCAAACTTTCAAAAAAGCGAACTGGAACTGCTAAACTTTTTTTCTGTCGAAGTGGGGGGCGGGCGGGGGGGGGGGCAGGGTGGGTGGGGGGGGGTGCGGAGCAGCGGGAGGGTGGGGGGCTCGGCTCGGTGTTGTGGGAGGGGAGTGGTGGGGGACGTGGGGGGGGGTGCTGGTGGAGTGAGTTATCTGTAGCCGTAGCCTTCGCGACAAAACTGACACCGGCCGAAAGTAACTTGACTTGATTGGTAAGTAGACACTAATTGGTGAGTATGAGTGCGTGGTGGAGTCGCGGGCGCGTCGCTGTTCACGCGAGGTGGAACGAGAGAGGAGCGAATTCGCACGAACGCCGACGTTGGAACGACCCCCCCCCCCATCCCTCCCGTGTACGATTGAAATTTTCTGGCTACGGCGGAGGATTCGAGCGCTTGAACGCAACATTTTCGCTGTCGATTTCACGCTTTTGACTCTTGTTGCACCAACCGAACCGACAACAATAACAAAAACCCACCACACCACCAACAACACACAACTTGCGGCCATGCACTTTTAATAACGCGGGGGGTTGGCTCCTCCACGTGTTACAAGCCAGGAGGACATTTTAAACCAGAAAAATATCGATCCGGACCCCTCGCGATCAATGAAGCCGAACAAACGAGCCTAGCGCCATAGGAATATTCAGCAGCAGCAGCAGGGATAATGATGACAGCTTCGGGTGCCCGTGAGTTTTGTCGGGGAGCGGTGCGCGCGATGGTCACACGCACGGGTCCCGTACGTGATCACGACCAGGGGGGAGGGTGCCGTCACAGCCGTTTGCTATTGTACGGCGTGTGAGCCAACAACAGCCGCATTGTACACTCAGTGCGTGCGCGTGTGTAGTGCAGTGTGTGTAGTGTATGTAGTGTGTGTAGTGTATGTAGTGCGTTTAGTGTATGTAGTGTGTGTAGTGTAGTGCGTGTAGTGTGGTGTCGTGTGTGTAGTGTGTGTAGTGTAGTGCGTGTAGTGTGGTGTGTAGTGTGTATCGTGTGTGTAGTGTGTGTAGTGTATGTAGTGTGTGTAGTGTGGTGTGTGTAGTATCGTGTGTAGTGTGTGTAGTGTATGTAGTGTGTGTAGTGTAGTGTGTGTAGTGTAGTGTGTGTAGTGTATGTTATGTGTGTAGTGTGTGTAGTGTAGGGTGTGTAGTGTGTGTAGTGTAGTGTGTGTCGTGTGTGTAGTAAGTGGGGAGCGGCAGTGTAGTGGTTAGCGCGCTGCGCTACGAACCCGGCCACCCGGGTTCGATTCCCGCTCACGGCCAACACCAGGGACGATTATCTGATACCGGTCCTGGGCCTCCCCTAGGTCGACTCAGCCTCAATTTAGTACCTGGTGCGGTGTGTAAACATCGCCACTAGGGAGACAAAGGTGGCCGGGCGTAGTGTTGGCCACCAACCCCCTCGTGTGCCGTGCCGGCATTCATAGGTGCTGCTCGCTAACAGCACTTGACCCAACAGTCTGTTAAGGTTACACAGGAAATATTTATCTTTATAGTGTAGTGTAGCAGTTAGCGCGCTGCGCTACAAACACCGGCGACCCGAGTTCGATTCCAGCATTATCTTAACCCGATCCTGGTCCTCCGCTAGGTCGACTCAGCCTCAAATGAGTAGTGTACCTTTTGCGATGTGTATGCATCGCCATTGGAGAGACAAAGGCGGCCGGGCGTGGTGCTGGCCATCCACTCGTGTCCCGATCCGGCCTTCATCGGTGCTCGCTAACAGAACTTGCCCCAAAGCTCTATTAAGGCTATACGGGTGATCTTTGTTTTGTACACACATTACACACGAGATACATGTATGTCCGAAAATATTAGCCAAGCAATGCATGACACGCTAGGTACAAGTGTGTACGCATTGCACACTAGGTATATGTATACACGTGTGTGTGTGTGCCTTCCATAGGTGCTCGCACTTGCCCCCAATAGCCCGTGTCGGCTATTCGGGGGATCTTTGCCTTTGTACCAGTCAGCAGTTGTGCGTTACTTGAGTGTTCTAGTGCGTGCGCGTGTGTGTTATCCATAGTTGAAACGTAGCTTACTGCCAAAGCAATTTTCGGAATTGCATGATATTTCCTTGAAGGATACAATTACGTGGACGCATGTCATCTTTAAAGGGAGTGTCCGTTACAATGTTAATGTTTGTTATCGTGGCTGCGCGCATCCTGTGCAGCGATTCGCGTTCTGCTCTTGAGTGTGAGCGCGCGCGCGTGCATGCGAGTTGGTGCGGAGCATAAACATTGGCAGTGGGGGGAGACAAAGGCGGCCGGGTGTGGGATGCCGGCCACGTCTTACCGCTTGCTCGTGTTAATAGGTGCTCGATAACAGCACTTGCCCCCAACAGTCTCCGTATAGGGCTACACGTGGGACCTTTGTCTTTGTATTGTGCGTTCGTGCGTGCCGTGAGTGTCTTTGTGAAAACGTTGCTGTGAATTCACGGGGCTGTACGCGCCGCCTTTAATTGTTTGCGTGAATTCTCTAAGTTTGTGCGATCTCCGGTTGAACATCCACGAAGCGACATAGAGAACGTTGAGCGCGAACGTGTTCATAGGCTGATGGTCGCCTCGGTGTTACCCGGTGAACGCGCAACTCCGCAACTCATGTGAACGCGCGCGTTACTGCAACGCCACAGTCACTTGTTGTTGTTTACAGGGTACCAGTGAGAGAGTGGGCCTATGTGTTGATGCTCAATGTATATTCACGTGTGTTAATAGTTTATATATAAATACTGTAATTATCCGGATTTTACGGTACACCAATATTTGTACTATATTATGCTTTAAAATATAATTTGTATTTAATATTGTTATTGTTGATGTTGTGTGATTGCGCGCGCCGCGTGTTACAAATAATATTCTTGTACGTCTCTGTGAGTTATACTGCAGTGTATTTATGCGTGTGAGTTTGTATTCGTGATGTAAACGCTTAGGCGCTGCGTGCCTCGAATTAAACGTACAGCAAAACATCGCCTTTTACAGCTGCCACTGTTGTACATCGCCACGTTGATTCTCTTCAAGTATTTATGCTAACGTTAAATTAAAATACAAAAAGTTATAATTTGCGAAATTACACCAAGCAGTCGCCGATTAGTGTGTATGCATTAAAGTTTGGGAAACTTTTTTTTTGTGGTTGTGTAATATTTGTGAAGACATTTTACATGGCTGTGTCGGTATGTATTTGCTTATTTTTGTAACCTAGAAGAGACTAAAATATTATTGGTTTGGATGAGTCGTCTCGTCTCGGGCATTTAAATATGATATGTAATTGTAATAAATAAAAGCGCTATTTTTTTACTCGCACCCTTAACGTGATTTATTTTTTTTTAAATATCATTTTAGGTAAAGTTACACAAGCCACGTGAACGGGGAGGAAACACGTGAACACAAGACTAATATTTTTTTTTAAAACAATACGGGCATGAATGCAGCACGTGCAATAAACACAGAGCGAGGCGTGTGAACACGTGGACGAAGGCGCGTCGATATATAGGCGAATGCGCCGATGAACACGTGTTAGTTTACATGTGTCAAATCTTAAACCCGCATGAACACAGCGCGTAGAATATTTGCGACATGCACGCGTGAGCGCAAGATGTTTAATGTCTGCAATGTGAACGCAGAGCGTAGAAAATAATTTAAATTACGAGCGCGTGAACACAACAAATAGAATATATGTACGTCAAATGAACACTTGAACACAACACGTAGCACATAAGTTACATTATAAACGCATGGCCACTAGTAAATTATATGCAAGTGAACACATGAACACACCACGTAGCATATACGTAAAATCATGAGCGCGTGAATACAACGCGTAGATTATATGCGATATTGTGAAAACAGTACATATAATATAATCAA